TAAATTTACTGTCCTCAACGTATGACGACTTTGTTTTTCGTACTTTCTTACATTTGTTTCTACGGTTTGCCCTGTCTGCAACAATCAGCTGCCTTTGTGTTCACAATGTTTGAAAAAAATTCAGAAATAAAATAGTTTCCTTATGCGTATAAAGATATAAATAAATTTGTTACTTACAGTAATCATTTTTTTAAATGTTATGACGCGACAATAGTTAATGTACCATTGATAATTAAGCCAGTCGTAAACGCATTAATTTATTCATGTAAGTACTTAGTTACTCATTTTATTACAAATTCACCAGTCAATAATCTTACAAGGGTACCTTTGCAACCAGCACACACCGATTTTGATAAAAATTATGAGAGACATAATTCTCAAGAAAATATTTGACACATATTTTTTCTTATCAGTCAACATCCACATTAAAGGGATGCAATTCTCCTCAAAGTTGAGGATTGAAAGTATATTTTTTACAATACCCGTGAAACTAGGGAGTGCAGAAAATAAATTGTTTTTAAATGGTTCGCTTCGAAATGGACAATTTAAATTTATTTTATTTACCTTGTAGTTTCAAAAATATTGTAAAAAGTATACTTTCAACCGTCAAATTTGAGGAGTGTTGCCGCCCTTTAAAGTGGATGTTGACTGATAAGAAAAAATATGTGTCAAATATATTCTTGAGAATTATGTCTCTTATAATTTTCATCAAAGTCGGCGTGTGCTGATTGAAAAGGTACCCTTGTTAAAAGAAGAGTCTTGTGTGTGACCATTTTATTCTGTATCTTGGGCACAAGTGTTCACGTATAATTTTCCTCTTTTGTAATAACACAAGAGTTTATAGGCCATCCTGTATATTTTATACGTGTTATTGCATCTTCTCATCCACGAACACTGATCTTCATTCCGTTATTTCTCATATGTGTAATCGTTACTTTATGTTCTTCGGGTTTGTATGTTCTTGAGAATTAAGTTTAGTGATAGCCTAACTGTTGTATTTCACTTCATATACTTTATGGAAGTTGTAGTACCGAGAAGTTTTGTTATACTACTCGAATATTATGCACGTTAGCACATTTATACTTCATGTATTTTCGAATTTAAAAATTAAAAATTTGTTAATTTATTTAAAAATTCTTTTTTATGTTTTTTATTACTGTTTAAGTACCTTTACTTTTTCACTATCAAATGGAAAAGGATTTGATTTCTGTCGGTTTACCATATTTATCGCAAAAATAACTTACAATTTTGGTCAAACAAAGTTTTTTATAAATAACCTTATCAATCGTATTTCTACGAAAATTGTAGGAACTATATAAATTTAGAACTGATACAGTAAAGTTTTCCACTTTTGTGTATGACGTCACTTTGAATTGCAATTTTCAATTTTATTGTATAAAGTTTGTGATATAGACAATTTAATGAAATAAAATAAAGTTGATAAAATAATAATGAATGAAAGGAAAACATTAATTTTTTACTGGCAAATGCGCTGTAGGAGCGATAATTTACAATGTTTATAAATAAACGAATAAATGTTAATATGCATCACATATGTGACATTTGGAACATTCTAGAAATTTGTGGAATGTTAATAAACTCAACATTTTATAAAAATCGATAGAACAAGAATATTCCAAATCTAATTGAAGTAATGCATGGGGACGATAGAATATGTACGAATCATATGAATGTATTTGAATGTACATACCAGTAAGATGAATGAGACTGAATGTATAAATAAAGAGCGTGAGTTGATTTCATGGGTATTGCACGTTCGAATCGTGAAATTGTAAGTCCGTGTGTTTGTTTCTTGTTCTATTTATTTTCTAAACTGTTGTCAAATATATCCCATAATAAGAATGTTTCTTTGCATTTCTTTAAAGTTAAATGTAACACACATAATTGATCAAAATTAGTAAAAATCAAAAGTCGAATATTATAAAACAAAAATGTATAATTAAGTATTTTTGAACTATAACTGCCGATGAACTGCGTCATTTTGATCTGCAGTATGTCACAGTGACATTTAGAGTTTCTAAAGCCAAAGTTTTAATGTGTACATGACTTGTTCTGTCACCGTTTTGTGGATGATCGACTAGCCAGGAGCCGCACACGAAGTCCACTTGTCGAGCTACATACGTCTAAACGGGACGAGAATACTAATCTCTCATTGAATGCCCATAAAACGAAATCGTTGTCTGTCTGAATGCTACAAAGATACAAGTCTCCAATCAATCTTTTGCAAAAAGTATCGTTGCAACATGAATAATGGCAATATTCTAGTAAACTAAATTAAATTTTCAATTTTATCTGCAAGAATATTCGCAAACTGTATATTAACTATAAAATGTAAACCACGCACTAAAAACCTTATCGTATTTTAATTAAAAATTGGAAATTTCTCAATTCGAAGTTAACACTTTATAGATGATTTCTGAAATTTTCCTAAAATATACAAAACGTGATTCTATAAGATTAATTTACTAAATACAATATCAAACAATAAATATTTACTCTGCATCGATCTCACCCGAAACGTGGACGAGAATGAATGGAACCAACTATTATCAATCAATTCTATAATCCTCTTTATTATTTTTTTTAATAATAAAATAATGTTAAACTTTCGACCGGCGGTATCAAATTCCTTAAGAAAAAAGAGGACACGAGAAATTAAGTTTTTGTTACAAGAATGATTTACTGGTAGAAAGTATTAATATTAGCGTGAAACAAAATTATAGATATTAATTAAAAAATTATGTATCTATTTTTCTAAGGAGTACACAACAGAAAAGTCAAATATTGATTCAACTTCAAGTGATTATTTGCAATTTTTAAAATCGTCATATATAACTAAAAATGTTTTACACTTTGTTACACTACTTGATTATTTTCTATAATTTTTACATACAGAGAAATACTATATTGTTTTACAATTGATAAAATAAAAAACTATTTATCCTTCAAAGTATCATCATTTTTTCGATTATATTTCCTTCATATCTACACACGCAATATTATTTTCGTGCACAAATAATTCCGCCGCCCCTTTCACGATTTCGATCAACCACATTTGCCACAATTAGTTCCATTTCAAACCCTAATCTTAAAAATAATCCACACTCAGATCCTTATCAATCACTCGTCAACGAAGCCCCTGTCATGATTTCGATCGACTACTTTCCTCCAGTGGTAGCTTTATTAAACCCCAATTTCAGGAATAATCCATACTCGGATTCTTATCGATCACTCATCAGCGAAACGATTTCGATCGACTAGATTCCACCAGGGAAAGTTCCATCAATCCCAACTTAAAAAATAATCCGTACTTGGATTCTCATCGATCACTCGTCAACAAAACCCCTTTCACAATAACGGTCGACATTCACATTCCGTTAAAGCTACCCCCATCAACCACGAATTCCCGAAATAATCCATATCCGAATCCCCATCCATCACATCGACCACACTTCAATCAAATTCTCACAGCAGCGAAACTTTTAAAATCACAATCCAAGTCCCAAGATTCCCTCCAGTACCTAAAAGTACGCCGACCCTGGGTACTCACCCTTCCCGACGCTGGCCGATCGTGCACCTCTGCTCGAATGTGGCAACCCTAGGAGATTTTGCAACAATGCCCTGGCAGCCAGCGAAATCCCGCGGTTAGTCTCCCCGTGTCCTGTTCACGAACAAACGTCGCCTGGACGTGATCGAAAGAAAACTCGTAGGCTCGATTACGCGATGAACGAGCGCGTCTGGGAGTCGCAATGGAATACCCACTTGTAGAGCCGGCGGATGACCGGGCGCGTAAACTAGACTGGCGGGTTGGCAAACAGGTGAGA